AAAGGCCCAAAAAATAGATCATAAAAAAAGCTTATGTGGAATGTGAATGTAATAATACTAAGACAAGCAACATTAATACCCTTAGAGGTCCAGGAGGTCTAAAATATTTTGAGATTCCTAGTATACTAATAGTATTATATGACTTAGATGAGATGAGATAAGATAAGTTATAAGCCATTGAAAAGAACAGTTTTGTTTGGGTTGGGTTTGTTGTCTCTGTTTATCCTCTCTTTAGTTCATGAGGAAGACCTTTTACCTCTTACCTTCTGGAAAAGAGCTGTTTATTGACATTTATAAGTGCAGGCTCAAGGCCTTATTAAAAAGTTAAAAATCCATAAGGAGTTATTAATGCAAAGCAAACATTTGTATCAAACCAACCAGAAACTATAAACACTATCGTCTTGGCAATTCAAATGTTGTTCTTGTTATGAATAGCTTGAAACCGATCTATGAAGCTTTAATGGACTGTTTTGGTTCTCTGCCATCATTGTAGTCTATTCTGATTCCCCCCTCCAGCACACCCCCACCAGTGTCAAAGCCCAGTCTATGGCTCCATTGGGGTAATCCCTGACTATTTCTAGGACTAAACTGGTATAATATACAAGGTCACCACCAAAGTCTTCAATCACTTGTGGCATCTTTCCTGATTGAACTCTCTATATACGGTGTTACCAGCGAAAATGGACGCCATGAATTTCCTTTAATGACTTTTACAGTTTCATACACTACAGTATTTAGAAAATTATGTGCTTGGTGATTTTAGGTAATAATAGGATATTGTGTGTGTGTGCACTGGATAAGTCTTGTTTGTGTAGGAAGAACAAAACACTTTTAAGTGAGAAATTAAATTATTAATCGGGATGTGCATGTTCTCTCAGAGGGGACATGTAATAACTGGATAAATCTCATCTCACCAGGAGTGCATTGTACTGTATGCACCCTAACCTGCTGCTATGAACACCTTCACTGCCACCATCTGGGAAAAACATGGAAGGTAGTACTATTAACAAGCTTTTCAGAAGCTACAGTGAAATGACAGATACAAGTTTATAAGATGTTTACATCTTCCTATATATATGTGTACATTTTGCTGTCTGAACTGATTTCTTACAGCAGGTGGAGACATTGGTCCACGGGACACAGGTTGCTATAAAGAGCTGGAGGATCTGCTACACTTCACAACATCTGAAAGGCTTTTGTATTCCTTTAAAACCCCAATGCCCCAATGTTTTAGATTGACTTAATTATGAAAATCATACATCATCATGAATATAAGAACTATCAGACAACTTTTTCAATTCAAACTCTCCAGGAATTGAACTTGAAATTGATTTTAAAAGAGTGAACCCTGCCTCTTGCCTAGTTTGTGCTGAGTAGATAATGCACAGGATGAGCTTTGATGATGCTGCAGCTGAAAGAAGCTTTAAAATCAATATTTTTATATTAACAATGGATCAAAAGACTATGTGGTCACTCATATGCACCTACAAAGAATTATCACTCAACTCTGCAGTTCCTCTCATACCTTTTTCAATCTTTCAGCTCATTGTTTTGGTTTCCCAGTTCACAACTTTACTGTGTTTCTTTCACTCTCACTGCTCAAACCCACTGTGGGTTATACCTGCCAAACACCAAACAGACAAAGTTAGTGACTAGCTAGTTAACATAGCGGAGCATTTAGCAGCTAAAAAAACATATATCTCCTTCAGGAGTTGATGGACCAAAACTGATTTCTACAGAGGGTAAATATTAGACTTACGTTAGTCAGGTGGAAATGCTAATGTTGCTATATGTGTCCGCTGGTTGTGTAAATAGGAAACTGTTTGCTAATATCAAGTTAAATTTTTTAAGATGATAATATGATAAGGTTGTGTTTCCAGTTGATCTGTGCTGCCCCCAAGTTGCCAAAGAAACATGCTGTTGCAGGTTTAAAATACAGTTCTGGCACGAGCGTTGTAGGTTTTGTACACAAACAGGTGAACCATTCCACTCCTTGTCTTTTTTTTCCTTTCACATTGGGCTCATTGTAAAAAAGGATGTATTTACCTAGTTTACATGACAACTGAAAATAAAAGCCCAGCTAACCTAGAGTGCTTTTTCTCACTTTCTCACGTAAAAAGACAGTTCTTTATTAAGACACCCCACACATAGGACTGGGACACATTATTTACTGTACAAACTTTTTACTGAACATGTACGACCATATGTCAATTAAATACTTAACTTTTAATACATCCCCTAACAGCAGGGACTGGCTCCACTTCATTGCACTGTGAGAGGAGGGAATGTTACAGGAGTTGGTAAGGCGCACACTGTGCTAGAAATGATTTAGCATTCTGTCTTGTGATGATACAGAGAAACAAAATATGTCTGCCTCTCAAATGTCCAACTAAAAATCTCTTATTAGTGAAATCATTTCTGGTGCTCTTGTCAATTATGTGCATACAGATCATGGGGAAAGAAGATAAAAGTTCAATGAGATGAGAAAACCACATAACTGATTGAAAGGAGTCTAGGATCAAAATCAACTTGATTGTTAAGTATAACATTTAGTGAAATCTGTCCTCTGCATTTAACCTTTATTAAGCACTAGGAGCAGTGGGCAGCCGGCTCCAGATCTAAGCCAGTGCCTTGGTCAAAAGCATTGACTGGAGAATAAACTCCACATACAGATATGGGGAAAACATGCAAATCCACACAGAAAGGCCCTGCCCCAGCCGGAAATTGAACCCAGGATCTTCTTGCTGTGTGGTGACAGTGCTAACCACTGGGCCACCATGCTGCCATAGATTATGTAGACATGACTAAAGAGCTAAAAGTAAAATGATTAACATGATAGAAAAAAAGCAGTTTGCCTTTAATAAGCCCTTCACCTCAGTGACTCCAAAATTAAAACAGTTTACATAAAATCATCCAACCATGTTTTTCACCAGTTTGGTTCTGGATTAAGAAGAAAAAAGTCCTCATTGAATAATTAATTGGCAGTTGAATGGGAATCTAGAATCTGGATACAACCCCAACCCTAAAATCAACTTTTTCCAATTTACATATATGGGTCAGGCGCTTCCACTGTTGGGAGGATGGGAGACTCTGTGGTCTCTGAGGGCTAGCAAGCTTTTGAAGATCTGCAGTTTGAGGTTGGTTTGGTGGATGAGCAGGGGCCTGTGTGCTAATGCTGTTCTGATTTGTGTTTCCAAAAGTGCTGAATCGTTGAGAAGTGTAACGATACTAGTGAAAAATCGCTTGCTTGAGATCGTCTGCTGCTAACAGGGATTCTAGAGATACCATTAAAGCCCAAAGAAAACCAATTAGTTCTTTGTTTCTAGCTATTGTTAATGTAAAATAAAAAATGTCAGCATATTCAAGTGTAGTGTTGTTTTCGTGTCCAAGGCTAGATTATAAACCGGCCCAAGGCAATTAGGAGACTGAAAAGTCCCAGGTTCACTTTGTGTCAGTGGTTTTTATCACACACTTAAGGTCCCCAGAGGAATAGCAATAACTCTGGGAATCCGCTGACTCTTCATTAAGCATCATCAGGTCAAAATGTTCATTTTTTAAGTACCTGCAACACTAATGAAACACTTCAGTCACAGATGTTTAGTGGTAAATATCAAAACTAAGATGGAGAACATGGTAAACACTATATATATTATATATAATATTTCCAGAATGTTTGCATGCTGATTTTAGCATTTAGCTCAAAGCATCATTGTGCCAAAGCACAGCGTCACAGGGCCGCTAGTACGGCTGCAGAATTGTTTTTTGATAATTTGATTAATTGCATAATAAAGTACAATATCAAGTAAGGCGGCATTATTACCTCTCTCGTAGAGGGGTCCTGTTTCTAAATAAGATCTTAATATTTCTCTATCACATTGTGCTCACAGTGGACACATAAATAAAGCTGTGTTTAATCAAATTACCACAAGCTAACACACAGAAAACCTAGGGCCAGATAGTGTTCCAGCACAGGAGCACTGGTTAGTGTCTTGGCAAATAATGAAGCTGCCATTTATAATCTGCTGTGTGCTCTGTACTAAGCTTGGAGGTGACTGGGCACAAATGGCCCTGGTGCTCCCTAATATGTTAATCCATGGTTGTGTCCTTATAACCTGGGAACTGATCAGTGGTCAAAGGATTCTTCTACATTTTAGACTGTAAGGATTCCCCATTTCCCTGATATATTTATACCGTATGCTCAGTAGCAGTCAGCAATATATATATTTATATATTACAGTCTGATTTGACTTTTATAGGATGATATATATTTTTATCTTTCATATCAAAGATGGCTGTTTTTAATTGCCATCTGTCATGATGATGATGAGCACAACAAATACATCGCAGCCAGGGCCAGACTGACGCAGCAACAGAGAATAATGGTGAATGTTTGCTGTTTGGTGACATCTGCTGGTGAAAAACAATGTCTATTCTTTTAGTAGATTAATGCTTCTGCTGATGAGCTATAATCAGAAGATCACTATTACTACAATTACCACAACCACCAGCTGGGTATGGCCCATATATTGTTCTATATAAGAAACAACACAGGATTTGCACAATTACAGTTACATAATGTTAGTGCAGTGTTAGGAGAGGTGTTTTTTTTCTCAAGGACTATGATTTGCCATTTGTGTAAACATATTGGTTTATAAAGTCAGTGGCAGATTGAGAAATACAGGAAATTAAATGTCTGATTTACAACAAAATTAACTTCAAACGGTGTCCATGTTACATTTTGTGTTTTCTGCTGATGGGATACAGTTGGACTAAACTAACTATTTAAAGTACTATTAAAAAAAGTAGTCCCACATACAGCTGATAATACTTAGTAAGATTTTAAATACAGGACATACTATTAGCCTACTTGAGTAAAGGAGCTGACTACATCTTCCACCACTGCTTTCTCCTGTCAGGACACGGTGGCAATACCTCTTTCTGATTGGCTGTCTCACATTTTAAGGGTCACATTGTGCCTAACGTCTGTTCATCTCCCTCCACCTGTGCACATCACAGACACACCTGCAGTTGATGCTGGACCCTGGCCTGCTGTTTGTCTCCATGTTTCATGCAATTGATGTAAGTCTCTTTATTGTTCGGTCGCTAGTACTTGAAATGTGCCTGTTTAAGTCACTTTACTTTGACCAAAGTGCTCTAACTATAGCTTTGTTTGGCCAAATGACAGCGGCGACCTACTGACCGCGGTGCCCATTCATTCTCTACGGGACACATTGGGCAACCGCATGTCAAAACACTCAGTGTTATGAGAGGTGTTTTTTTTATCAATGGATATGATAAATAATTTGTGCAAACATTTTTATTGGTTTTAAAAAAACACTGTCGGATTAAGAAATAGAGGAAATTAAATGTTTAATTTACAACAAAATGACTCCGGGGGGGTTTACAAACTGTTTAAATAGTGTCAGTGTTTCCTTTCGTGTTTCCTGTTGTTAACGACTTGTTTTATGAACGTGAAATCCCACACACCGGTGATGTTTTCACATGCATAAACTATCCGGAAATTCAGCAATTAAATCGCCGGTTCGTTATTAAATGCAACGCAGCGTGATGCGGTCAGAGGAGAGAGAAGTGGTCCGGGGCCAAGAGAGAGACCCATGGCCGAGCAGCACAAAAAATGCATTTTTAAATCAGGAGAGACTTTTAATATTTATATCTTTAATATGTGCATATCTAGGACTTTGCTTTGTTCTTGCCAAACCTAATGTCTTTGTCTTAGGACCAGCTCTTAAGTAATCTCCCCATGGAAACAAAATGAACACAAAGTTGAACAAGAGTTAAAGCCTTACGCTACCAAATTGATAGTAATGGAAATACTTTCAGAATATTGCGCTTTCTTGTCGTTCTTGAACGTTGTGGCCCTCCTATAAGATAACAATACCAGCAAGTTTGAGACCCCTCATCTAGACCCTAATGGTTTATATCATGAAATAACTCAACATACAGTAGAAAAGATGGGAAATGATCTCTTGGTTATGTTTTATTTTAAATTTATTAGCTACAATCAAACAATTGTGTATTTAAACTGTCCGATCCCATCCTGACTGAAATGTTCCCAGTATGCCCGTCAAGGACACAGCTTGGTTGTGTGCAGAACAATGTGCTGAGATTAACAGATTAAGGTCTATGATGATAAATGTGTCTGTTTACATGCATAATATGGATCACTGGGAAAGACCAGAATATAAATAGGAGCATATTTAAGGAAATTTACATTAAATTGCCTAGTGGGACCCTATACGTTGAGAAAAGCAATGGTCCTTATCCAGAGCCTTGAGGCAACCCACAGAAAAGGATATGAATGTCGTTTTGTTGAATACATGGGTGATTAAACATGTTGATTTTCACTCACACATCTGTATAATGTATTCCAGAGCTGCTAGCTTGACTTCATCAACTTGTGTTGTGTATTATGTATGTAGATGTGTATTTTAAATGATGACTTTAACTTCTGCTGCAGAATTCTTAAATCTTTGGCTGAATGGAGAAGTGGAAAAACCTCAGACAGAAGTTTTTCTTCCTCTCCATTGGTATCTTCATCTTCGTGGTTGTGGTTGTCCTTTTCCCTGGACCAGATGATGCCATCCCAAACCCGATCCGAAACCTGCGTCGGAGTCCAAACTCTTGCCCCCTGGAGACATCTGACAAGACTATTACCCCCCTCAAGAATACTAAACAGTTGGTGTCAGCCTACATGGACCAAAGGGTGAAAGGTTTCGATATACGCATCATTAGCATATTCAGAAGAGACTCCATCCAACCCCTTCAGTGTCTTTTCTGCTGTGCAGGCCAGGTATCAAATACAACAACTCCAGCAAAAATTAAAGAACACTCAGACAACTTTGGATTTCCCTTTGCCACTGCGGATGTCATGTGTCAGATTCCTCAAACCTGCAGAGCTTCCCATCTCCGTCTTCTGACTCAGCTAGATAGTGTGAAGGTATCTTCACAGATTTGGCTCCCTATAAGAAACCAGAAGACCAAAGGAAAGACAGAAGAACTGCAGTATAACTTTACAGTTTGCATCTCCAACCTGTTTGAATCCAACAATGCACTTCAGTATGCACAGACCCTGGAGATGTACAGGTCAGCACTCTACACAACACATACAGAATACAGACGGTAGACAGAACAGCAACAACACCACCACCACGAAGAATGACCTCAAATGAGCATTACCGTTCACAAAGGGACTATATTATGGTAGGGCTTCTAGACTGCATTACACTGTAAGGTGATGCAGTTATTATTCTTACTCAGGGTGGGTGCAAAAGTCTTAACTACATTAGCCATGCTAATGCCTAAGGAGTAAATAACAAGGGTTAGTCGGTCGGCTAGTCCACCATTTTTGGTCCAGACTCAAGGTTGATAGGCTTCAGCTTAGTTTCCTGAAGTCTCTACTGGTTGCCTAGCAACTTCATGGTAACAAGACACCAGGAAGTCGCTGCTTGCTCCCCAACCCACATCAGTATGTTTGCATTCCCTTATTGACCTTTAGCTAAGGACACTGCTGTACCTTGGCAGAGCCATTTGTGTGGCTGTAGTCTGTTTTAGTCTTGTTTTGAATCATGACTTTTGTTTTGTGAACCTCTTCACCTAACTACAGATTGCTGGGTGTGGACAGAGTGGTGATCTATAACACCAGCTGTGGCCCAGACCTCGACCGCCTGTTGCAGAGCTACAGCAAGGAGGGCTTTGTGGAGATGGTTTCTTGGCCCATCACCCGGTATATTAACCCCTCTCATGGCTTCTGGAAGTATGGAGGGGATATGTACTATTTTGGCCAGTTAGCCACACTTAATGAGTGCATTTACAGATCCATGGACCGGTCACACTATGTCCTGTTGCATGACATTGATGAGATTATAATGCCATACCAACACAACAGCCTAAAACCTCTCATGGACATACTCCAGCAGCAGCACCCAAAAGTAGGGTACTCTGTTCTTTTGAGTCATATAATATTAATATCCATACTGATCATATTTGGTATTTACTATATTTTCTTTCTTTCCTCCCAACTTACAATGCATCCATCAAACTTGAATCCACGTTCTGCAGGTTGGGGTGTTTCTTGTTGAAAATCATATCTATCCCAAGAAACCCTATGAGGAAAGTAAAAGTGGTCCCCTGCCTAAATGGAGAGGGGTGCCAGGCTTTAATATTCTCGAGCACATCTATAAGTGGGAGCCCGACAGGAAGGCAGAGTACCATCCGTACAAGCTGATTGTTCAGCCAAGGTAAACTGATTTTTATTTAATTTTTTTTTTTCTCCTTCCCCCATATAGGTCTCAGCAGCAACATTCAGATAATGATCTGTGAGTGACCAGATGTGTGTGCTTCACAGGATGGTGGAGCAGACTTCGGTGCATTTAGTGCTTGAGAAGTTTGGAGAGGAGTTCAAGATTCCACCCGAGTTGTGTCATATTATTCACGCTCCACTGAGCACTCCTACTATTCAGCCACTGGAGAAGATCCAACTGGACACCCGTCTGTGGGATTTCAATGACAAGCTGATCCCAAATGTGAACAATGTGCTGAGGAGAGCTGGGCTGTTGCGCTCAGAGAGGAAGGCCTGATGGAGGGATGGAGAAACACAAAGAGGGATGAAGAACACTGCATTGCACATATGTATTTATCAGTTATCTCTGCAATATCTTTAGCCATGCAAGCAGCTTAGTTCTACAGATGGCAATGGTCCAGACTGAAATTTCTCAGGCTATTGCGTAGATTGCCATGAAATTTGGTGCAGACATTTATTCTCCCCAGAGGATGAATTCTGCTAACTTTGGTGATCTCCTGACTGTTGTTCTAGTGCCATCATCACGTCACATTTTTAATTTGACTTCAACATCACTTCAGTTTATGAATAAATAGTTAGAAAAAGGACATCAACCTCAGCTGTACTTTTGTGGTTAGTGCTATTTAGAAAGTTTAGTGTTAAAACACTAATGTGGTGAACACCTGTCAACATGGTTATCTTGTTAAAATGCTGACATTTAGCACAAAGCATTTCCGTGCCTAACTACAGCCTCACAGAGCCACTAGCATAGCTGTAGACTCTTGTCTTATCTAATTTTTAGCTAGTTCAAGCTCAAGCAGACAACATTGTTGGAACCTCAGGCTTTTCTGTCACACAGAGATTATCTTGGTGTAATTATCTAAACCTACCTTAACCTGTTTTATCTTTCTGCTATCATTGCAGCCAGTGCCGCTTCACTCCTCCAACATTCCACCACCATTGTCAAGGCCCTTGTGGATCTCTGTCTGGCTCCTATGTGGTATATTTGCTATAAATGTGTAGAATTGACAGGATTGATTATGGTTGAAATAAATTAAAAAACTAATGTCTACCCTGAGTGAGAATTCTTCTCAGTAATATATTAGTGGTATGGTATATCTTGTATTGACAAGATACGCCAGGCAGAAATGGAGCGGACAAGGAAAACCTGGATAAATCTCACCTCAGTGGATGTACACTGTATACACCAATCAGCCATAACATTATGATCACCGACTGAAGTGAATAACGTTATCTCTTTATCATGGCAGTGGGTAGGATATATTGGGCAGCAGGTAATCATTTTGTCCTTAAAGTTGATGTGTTAGAAGAAGGTAAAATGGACAGTGGGAGCGTTTAAGCAACTTTGACAAGGGCCAAATTGTGATGGCTAGAAGTTCAGCATCTCCAAAACTGCAGCTCTTGTGGGGTGTTCCCGGTCTCCAGAGGTCAGTTTCTCTCAAAAGTGGTGAACCGGAGACAGGGTCATGGGCTCGTTAATGCACGTGGGGAGCGAAGGCTG